GTGTATGTCTGGACCTGGCGCTTCTTTCCTGTGTATAGCGCCAGGCCCCTTCACACCTTGTGATGAGCATGATGTATGTTTGGTCTGCGTTGAAACATTGATTGGGCTAGTCATTCGTATTCTAGCATTCTGCTTTGCTATCTTGTACTACGTGAAAGGGTCAGTCCCGGTCAGGTCAGGACTTGTATCCAAAGTCTTCCCTGCGCTATAAAGCACCATTTTGTATGAATCGGAATGCACATTGCGTATTGAGATTCCACTTGCACTGCATTGTCCATTCAGTCCTTTTTATCACATCGCGGATCCTCGGTTTATATGTACATCGCCCAACTGGGCATGTAACAGTTGGTATCGGAGCACCGCACGTGAATCAGGACAACCTGATCTGACACGTATGCGGGGACTAGGTAGCTCATTAGTCTTGATTGATTGATTAGAGCACACTAGTTAGCCCCCAAAATCACGATTTTGACCTCACTGCCGAAAATCGATTTTTTTTTTTTTTTCTTGGATTTCGTTTTCTCGCTATTTCTATTGTGGAAAATCGCAATAGCACAACATCTGAAATTTCCGTTTTCGCTTTTCTTTTTAAAATCCGAAATTTTGTTGTTGGAAATCCGAAATATTTTTTTCTCGAAAATTTCGATCTCCTTTTGCAATTTCCCGTTATTTGGAAATTCGGAATATATTTTTCCGAAAGTCGTTTTTCAGAAAACGGTACGGGAAATCCCTCCTGCAGATGGCACAAACCATTTTCCAAACTACGAATACTCTCATCTGAGTAAATCCGAATACTTGTTATTTCTTTTCGGGAATTTTTTTTTCGCAGTTCTATGATTTTCACTACCTGATAATCATTGGCAGTCTGAAGTTTGTGTGAGGATTGAGCCCTAAGTGGGGCCTTGCCGACATTCACATGTTCTGGGCTAAGGACCCCAATAAGCCTTGTGCCCGCCCTAAGTGAAGGCGGGCCCGAATATCCACAAGAGGCCTTCCATTCAGCATTACACGAAGTGGGTATCAGACGGTTGCCGCACGCCAGTTGGTTGAAGTGCATCGTGAGCCCAGACTCCTGTAGAGGCAGTTAAGCCCAGGGCCTCAGTTGGTTGAGCCCTGGGCACCAGTCTGGGAGGCCGACGCATCACACATTGGACGCTGGCCTATGGAAAAGCAGCATTGGCCGGGCGAACCAATGGGAAACCGGAACGGGGTCTGAATCTGTACGATGGCCCTGGCATAAGGGGCGCAACTGCATTACCTGGGCCCCACCTGTGATTGGGCCTTGGCCCAGATGCAGGCTCGAGGGAGGACGCCCACACGCAGCAAGGCATATAGGCAGAATGTGCGAGTGGGCAAGGATCTAGGCCAATGCAGGCATTGCGGGCACGCTGCTGCATCGTAGCGCGGGTGCTTGCGCTATGCTCTGGCCGAGAGTAAGCTGGCTGGCGCTAAGCGGTAGGGCGCAGCTGGGGTGCAAGGCGCTGGCAGCCATAGCCGGGCTGCAGGAGGGCGTAGAAGGAGGTGAGGGTGAAGGTGGTCTTCGGAAGGAGGAGACGAGTGGGAGTCAGGGAAGAGAAGAGGGGAGCGAGTGAGTACTTACCTGGTGTGCGAGAGGAGGTCGGCATTGGTGTTGACATCAAGCACGCTGGTCTTCAAGTCGTCCTGGTCGCGTCATGCTGTAGTTGTAGGGATAGGTTGTAGAGTAGATAGGGCGCCCGTCGCCATTCGAAGTGAGAGCTACATTGGGTTTTGATGTTGGTGTGGCCCTTCGGGCTTGGACATTGACTCTCGATTTTGCTGTATCGTTCTCAATGGATGGTCTCTTGGTTCCAATGTGCTATCTGCTCTTTGCTTGACTACATGGACTTCATGGTGATGTGCAATTTGGATTTTTGTACTTCGTTCACACTCATGTTCCTTGCAATTCGGTATCGGAGCTGGTTCGATTCGCTGCTTACCTTTTGCGCTGGCGACATACAGACTTGGTGCGTTGACGATGCTTCTTCGCAGTAGGTGTTTGTGACATCAGGCAAAATAGCATGCGACCCGGGTAGAGGGGTGCGCGCTGGAAGGCTATACTGCTTGGGACGCTGTGGCGACAACGGAATGTATGCATGGTGATGAGAGCATGCTGATTTGGCATTTGGCTGAGGTGGCACTGCATTGCGGTTGTGGGTGGTACCGAGGCTATAACCGGTCATCAAATGCACATTCAGCTCAATTGGTGAGAAATTTGTGGTTGGGGGAAGCTATCTCCAGGTACGTTGTGTTTTCTTACCTTATCTACCCTCTCAATCTCTTCTTACCGTGAGGAAGTGAGTCCAACTTGAGAGTCCTCTCTTTTGGTGAGGTGTCGTGAGCGCTCTACCTTGAGAGACGACAATCTTCCCGGTGGCGCATCTGGAAGGAGAAATGGCAGTGCCTCTGAAGGGCCTTGGTCGAAGCATGTGGGTCATGATCACCATGCCAACCCAATGGGATTAGTACATACATGCGATGGCTGCTTTGTCCGTTGGGGCTCTTTGCTGCGCTAATAGAGGGGTGTGCGGACTGAACAGGCTTATGCAGACGCTCCCAGACCATCTATAAACATTTCTGGTTGGGGTTTCGATCTGTCCACTGGCTGTGATCGTCGTCCTGATTGCGACGTTAAATAATTCCTGAGCGACGTTGGGGGCAGTCCTTAAATAAGCCTCTTGATCAGCCAGATCAGTCGGACGTAAGGCTCGTTGCACGCGAGGATAAATAACGGGCAAGCCTGGTCATAAGCATGCACCTGGGGCACAGGGGACATTGCACACCTATGACACTGCTGCTCATTGATGCTCATCGGTATGTTGGATTGAGGGGAGGGTAGGTTCCAATTGGTGTTCAATTGTAAACACAATAATTTCCATTTTTCATACATCTGCAACATAATTTAATTTTATTGTTGATTAGTTGGTTGACAGACTGCTGACACCTCACAGACAGCTTAGTTTAGGACTGTTGTATACTCATAGCCAGTTTTATGCAAAGCTTCTGTAAGTGAACTAATCTGGATAAAATAAAATTATGTTTACAGTCTTTGTGAATGTTGTAGGCTGCCACTTGATCAGTTAAGTAGGGGACCTGCCGGACACGTTTATTTTTAGAAAATTAGGTGTCGGTCAAACACATGTTGTGCTAGGACTCCAACAGGGAGTTGTAGTGTAGATAGTGTTTGCCAAGCTGATGAGTAGGTCAGACTCCGATGAGGGTAGGGTTGACGATGCGAGGCTGACACGTTCGAGATCACGTAGGGTCCCACACGTGTTTCAGGCCCTACAGTCAGGAGACGAAAGACGGCTTCGTGTCGAAGTTAGAGCCCGTGCTTACACAGCAGCCAGGGAAGCAGCACTAGCTGCAAGTCAGGCGTTAGCAGCAGCAAACGTTGCAGCTAGGGAACAGGCAGCAGCAGCAATGGCTACTGCCGCAGCATCCTCTGTTGCATCCTCGTCTGGGACCTAGTTGGGGATGCCCCATGGGCCCACGGGTACTTCCAGACCAGAAGGTTCCAGTCACTCCACAAGTCAAATGGCGGGCTCGCAGTTCAGTCCATTGAACCCACGCGGCAGAGAGCTACAAGAGCTCCAACAAGTCGAGAGGATCCGCACACGGTTAGAGAAGGAACTGAAGCAAGCTACTGATAGAGAAAATGAGCTTAGAAATAGAACAGCCAAGCTAGATACGTTAGAGGCAGACAAAGCTGCATTAGAGGAGTTAGATGAGTCAGCAATGTCTGACGCAATGAAGGTATTAAGGTCCAACATACTGTCACTGCATGTGCACGTAGACAGCAGGCTGGACTTCATGCAGAACTCCTTGGACCAAATCTTGGACCTTTTGCAAAGGCCAGGATTACGGCCAGCAGCACAGTCGTCGTTGCTGTTAACGGCGATGTCAGGCCCCTTTCCGATACAAGCTGGCACACAACCAAGTGGTACGTCTGCAGCAGCTGCACAGACTGTTGCTTCTTCTTCTTCTGGTCCAGCGGCTGGAGCTACACCACAGCCGCAACAATATGTTCCACCTCAGGGACAGCAGCAAAGTCCATGGTACCCAAGGACCCCGATGAAGCCACCCCTTGCTTTCTCCGGTGAGAAGAAAATCGAGGAACTCAACACTTGGTTGAGAACGGTTCCAATGTGGGTAAGGGCAAAGAGGACGTTGCAGGAGGAGGAGGTGATTACTCCTCCATCTTACCTCGAGGGTAAGGCAGCCAAATGGCTGGATGGGATAGTAGTTAAGGTTGGGTTCGGACGACGCATGGCAGACTGGGGTAAAACCCTCACTTTAGAAGAGTTCTTGGATATGGTAGAAGCTCGCTGGTATAATCCGCAGCAGGCACAAATTGCCACTGATGCGATGCTCAGACTGGACCAGCGAAGGTACAAGTCTGTCAGAGAGCTGACGTCTACCGTAGAGAACCTCATCGTCGTTCCCGGCATACGCTATGATGAGAAGGTCTTATTGACCATGTTTCTGAGATGTCTGCCCGAACATCTCAGAACCTTACTGGCCAGCGAGGCTCGCCTCGAGTATCATTCTTTTGAGACCTTCTCTAGAAAGGCCTTAGACTTGGAGGTTACCCTAGGAAGTGCTCAACCTACTCCAATAGACGGGAGGAAGAAGAAGAGTCCACAGGAATGGAAAAAGAAGGGTAGTAGATTGATGATGGTTGAGTCCGATGGGACTCAAATTGAAATCGAAGAACTTACCGACGGTTCACAGTATGATGGCGAGGAAATTGTTGAGGGTAGCACCCTCGCCGCAGTAGTCAAGGCAAAGTCTGGTGGCCGCAGTAAGGGCGGTCATCAAACGAGTCAAGGGCAGGCCGCCTCCAATCAGTCCAAAGTAGCAGATTGGGTTAAGGCAGATCTTGATCAGGAAGTGTGGCGGGACCGCCGAGTGCGTGGTGCTTGCATTAACTGTGGTGAATACGGACACACCCAGTATAAGTGCAAGAACGCAAAGGTCACGCAGAAGATACCCCCTAAGGGAGGGGTGCCTTCTTCCCAGGCTGGGACCAGTTCCAGCTCGGGAAACACTTGAGGTCGGTGGAAGTTTTAGTTGCTTCTACTCATGGTGAAGTGGGCAAGATACCCTCCCCACTTCATGAGATGGCCATTGCTAATGACTCTTTAGTCACCCCGCAGACACACCCAGACCAAACCATGCTCTGTACGTTGGATGTGTCTGAAGCCTTAGAGGACTTACAAAGCGAATGGTCGAATAGTGATCCACGCGAGTCCTGGGTGGCACTCAGTGCAAGTCCTAGAGGGGAACATTTCGTAGTGGAGGTTGTGGTAGGAGGCCGCAAATGTGGTGCCTTTGTAGACATCGGCTCCACCTAGAATTATATAAGTCACGACTGTTTGGAAAGGCTGCGTCTAAAGGACCAGGTGCAAAACCTAAGTAGACCAGTCGCATCTACTTTGGCCAATAAGGAGTTCATGGTTGTCACAGACTATGTCAAGGATGTAGTCTGCACCTTCTCCTATGGAGGAGGGGAACTTAATCACAAGATTGCGTTCCTGGTTAGCGACGACTTAACATTTGATATGCTGTTAGGAATGTACTACCTTGAGGTTGCCAAGCCCCAGTTTGACTGGGACAAGAAGGTGCTCAAGCATGAGTTGCCTGATGGAAGGACCGTGAGACTGGCCAAGTATAAGGCTAGAAGGTTGCTAGAATCCTATGGCTGCTTGTGCGCATCAATGTTCTACAATTATTATAAACAGAACCCAGAGGAGGGTATGTACCTAGTGTATGTCTCTGAGAAAGGGGAGGCCGTTAAAACACCCCCAGAGATAGAACACGTCGTTGCTAAGTTCCCTGATCTGTTTGAGGAACCTACAAGGGTCGTAGAAAGGGAGATTGTCCACGCCATAGAAATCGTTCCAGGAAGTAAAACCCCAAAGGGAAGGATCTATAGGATGGCCCCGGCCGAGTTGGACGAACTTCGGCGACAACTGAAAGAACTCACAGAGAAGGGATGGATTCGGCCTAGTACTTCCCCCTTTGGATCACCAGTGTTATTCGTACCGAAGAAGGGGGGGTCGTTGAGGATGTGCATTGATTATAGAGGCCTCAATGCCATCACTATGAAGAACGCTGAGCCTCTACCACACATTGACAACCTATTGGATAGGGTGCAGGGGTGTAAGTACTATACCAAGATAGGTCTAAAATCCGGCTACCATTAGATTGCCATAAGACCCTAGGATCAACACAAAACCACGTTTCAGACTAGATACAGTCTGTACGAGTTTGTGGTGATGCCCTTTGGCCTTTGCAATGCGCCGGATACATTCTAGCACGCCATGAATAGGATCTTCCATGACTACATGGACAATTTTGTCATCGTGTACCTCGACGATATTCTTATCTTCAGTAAGTCTATCGAGGAACATGCACAACATTTAGAGATTGTTCTCTCACTCCTGCGGCAGCACAAGTATCAGGTCAACTTAGAGAAATGTGAGTTCGGACGCACTAGGATCTTGTACTTGGGTCATGAAGTATCCGCGGCGGGGATTAGGCTGGAAGATGCAAAGGTGGCTAGTATAAGGGACTGGCCACGACCTCAGACTATTACTGAGGTCAGATCTTTCTTAGGAATGTGCGGTTACTAAAGGAACTTCGTGAAGAATTACTCTACAATCGCCTCTCCTTTGACTGATCTCACTCGACTTGACACACTGTGGGAGTGGAGTGATGAGTGTGAGGCTGCTTTCAAGCGATTGAAGTCCTCATGAATCATGAGGTTCTCATGGTGCCCGATCCTCAAAAGCTTTTCATTGTGACCACTGACGCAAGCCAATACGACATTGGCGCAGTGCTGGCTTAGCAGGATGGAAAGAAGTTGAGACCGATTGAGTATATGAGCAAGAAAATGCCATCAAGAAACTGGCGAAGTCCACCTACGAAAGGGAACTTTATGCCCTCTACAAGGCACTCGTCCATTGGAGGCACTTTCTGTTGGGGCAGTTTTTCTATTTGAGAACTGACCATCAGACCCTCAAATGGATCAAGACTCAACCTGCTCTTTCTGATGCACTCAAGCGCCGGATTGAGGTCATAGATCAGTATGACTTCAAGCTAGAGTATCTGAAGGGAGAGTACAACAAGGTTGCGGATGAGCTGTCACGTAGGACAGACTACCTAGGGGCGCTAGTTTTTGAATTTGGCGTATCTGAAGAAGTAACTCAATCGCTGGTGGGAGCCTATCAGGAAGACCCTGTCACGATGGACATCATACGCAAATTGCGGGCGAAAGATAAGGCCACAGAAGATGAGTTTGTGATGGTGGACGGGCTACTCTTTGTTGAAAAGGCCGGGTTCAAAAGGTTAGTTATTCCATCTAGTGAACGTTTGCGTAGTTTATTTTTAGGGGAATGTCACAACGCAACAGGGCACTTTGGCTACAAGAAGACAAGCGCTAATCTGATACAGCGATTCTGGTGGCCCAACATGCTAGACAATGCTAGGAAGTATGTACAGACTTGCCAAATCTGTCAGCGGGACAAACCGCGCACTCAAGCACCGCTTGGATTGTTGAAGCCTTTGCCCATTCCCGCTGGTCCGGGACAGAGTGTCTCCATGGACTTCATGGACACCCTGGTGACCAGCAGGAGTGGGAAGAGRCAYATMTTCGTCATAGTTGRCAGGTTTACCAAGTATGTCMGACTAATAGCTATGYCGGAAACRRCAAGGACTGAGCACGTCATCAAGTTGTTTATGGACAACTGGGTGCGTGACTTTGGGCTGCCTAAGACTATCGTTAGTGATAGAGATGTCCGCTTTACCAGTGAGCTGTGGAAAAAGACTGCTAAACAGATGGGCAGTCAGCTTCAGATGACTTCAGGGAATCATCCTGAAGCTAACGGACAGGCCGAACAGATGCACCGGGTTGTGCAGCATCTGCTAAGGCATTACATAAAGCCCAGCCAGGATGACTAGGATGAGAAATTGCCTCTCATCGCCAGCCTATACAACAACGTCGTGCACAACGCTACTGGCGTCAGTCCAAATCAACTGCACTTGGGATGGAAGCCCAGATCTGCTCTAGACTTCCTCCTGCCAGAAAACCGACCTGCTGCAACCCATGGAACCATGGAATATGGTGTCCAGTA